CCAGATCTGCTACTCTACACAAAGCATCCGAGAGCTGATCAAAAACCATCACAATCTTCTTCCCGGGAGGGGTAACACATGCTTTTTGTACCAGCCGTTCCGCTTCTTGCAATGAATTTTTTTGAGCTTCTTGAAATCCTTCTGGACAACTAAGTTCTGGTATGCCAAAGAGACCCTAAACCATAGAAAATTAGATCACCAACATAAATAATTTTTAAAAATGTAAATATTCTATCCTACAATAATTTTAGAAATTGAATCCTGTGAACCAAAATCCTAATAACATAATTTTGCCAGACAAATAACTTTACAGTAATATGAACCAAAAGGATAATAACATTAAGTATAACTCCTTCACACATTTTCCTGAGTTCTCAATCAGTTTTTATTTGTAGCCTAAATTACTTTTCAGCATCTAATTCTGAAAAATTAGATTTTGCTAATCTGGAATGTTGGAGTAAAAGTCTCCTACATCTTTCCCAACACAACCAGTCCTCATAATCCCAATCCAAATGTCAGAATGATAGCACTCTATCACATCTGGAAGTTGAGATACAAGCCAATGCATCAAGGAGGAGAATAGAAAAGTACAAATGTTTTTAATTTCTATTTGTCACTGAAAATTTATTTACTGTGAGCATAAGCATAAGCTCACAGTAAATAAATTTTCAGTGACAAATAGAAATTAAAAACGAAATCTGCCAATCAGAGGTTTGTATCCCATTCTCGCATGCGTTTTACATTTGTAGACTGCAAAAATCCAGTCAACCATTAAATAGCAGCAAAGCAATACAGAAAACAAATTCTTTGATATCTTCTAGAGATTGTAAAGTTTTTTGCAGTCCAAATATGGTATCCTACTTTATAGAATTCTCTTTTCTATTCTCCTCCTTGATAATTTCCCCTTTTGTTGTCAAAATTCAGCCACTGAGGCATATTCATTTGTACTGGATTTTTCTCCTCCCAACCTTAGAAGTTTTTTATTAATCTTTTTCCAAAACTCGGTCCCTCTTAAAGCTTCTTAATTCTCTTCCTTTATCCATAAATTATCTTTAAGATTATATCTGGATGCTTACTCAGAAAATTCAGTTGGCTGTTAATAATTAAACTACCTTGGAAACTGTAATTTGATTTATATGAATGGTTCCATAAACTGCCACTTTGGTAAGAAATATCTTTCCAAAAAACCAAAATTCCTCAATGGTCACTGATTTGTAAATATAGTTTCAAGTTTACCTAGAGTTTACTTAAATTTTACTCTACTCAATCTTCAGTGCTCATACAACATACTGCTAGTCTTCACTTAATGACTGCAATTGGGACTGGCAACTCCATCACTTAGCGACATGGAAACATCACACAGCCGTGCTAGACTTACATCTTCAGATCCACTGTAGTTAAGCGAATCGCCTGCAGTCCTTACGTGCAACATCACATGACTGTGACTTGCGACTTTCTGCTAGCTTCTCCACTGACTTTGTTTGCTGGAATCTGGCTATGAAGCTCACAAATGGCAATCATGTGACTGGGGATGCTGTGACCATCATAAATGTGCCCCAACTGCAAAGCGCCTGAATGGCGATCATGTGATTGTGGGGATGCTGCAACGGCTATAAGTTCAAGGAGCAGTTGTAAAGCTACTTTTTCAGCGCTGTTGCAAGTTCCAACAGTCGCTAAACAGGGTGGTCGTTAACCAAGGGTTACCTGTACTGTACTATGAATCTAACCACATAATGGGGCTCCCGAACTCAGCAGTCTAAAATGTGATGGGTTAATTTAGACTTTAGTGTGTTATGTATCCAAACATTAGAAACCTGGAGGCTGTGAGTTCTAGTCCCGCATTAGGCACAATGACAGCTGTGTGACCTTGGCCCAGTCACTCTCTCTCAGCCCAGGAAGGAGGCAATGGCAACCCACTTCCAAAATTTTGCCAAGAAGCCTGCAGGGACTAGTCCAGGCCCTTGCCAGGAGTCAATATGGACTCAAAGGCACCAAAATAACAATAACAACAACAACAATAATAAATGTCCCCTTCCAGCTCTCTGAACACAGTACCAACTTCAATAATAATAATAATAATTGTCCCATTCCAGCTCAACACAGCACCCCCCAAATTCCACAATAATAATAGTAATAATAAAAAATAAATGCCTCCCTTCTAGCTCTCTAAACGGAGCACCAACTCCCATAATTATAATAATGGTCCCCTTCCAGCTCAACATATTATGCGATGATGATGATGATGATGATGATGATAATGTAGCCCCCTTCCAGCATCCCCAACTTCCACAATCCCTCGCGGTGGCCAAGGATTAGGGAAGCTGAAATCCAGCTCCTCTGGAAGAAAGCTGCTGGCTCTCTTCCGCTGAAAGAAGCAAAGAATCAGCCAAGGCTGTTCTGCCCGATTCCGCGCGAGCCTCACTCCCAGCCCGCCTCTCACCGTTTTCTGCCCCACCGCCAGCCGCTGCTGTTGGGCATTGAAGGCGGCGCCCACCGGGGACCAGCTGGTGCTGACCCACTTCTTCGTGCCGCCGCCGAGCCGGCCCAGCCCCGCTTGCTACAGGCCGCCCGCGGCGGTGCGCGCCACCCGGTGCCAGCTACTCCACATGGTAGCGAGGGGACCGCTCGCCACGGGAGACGTACCGCCTCCGAGACAGCCAAGCGGTTCCGGGGACAGCCTCTTCCGCGTCCCGGCCGTGAGGAGGAGCCTCGGTGCGACCCGCTTTTCCTCACCCTCCGGCGGGTTCGCTCGGCCTCGCGCTCTCGCTAAGGCAGCGGCCGGGCGCCGCTAGGAGGCCTCGGGGCCGCTTCTGATTGGCTGTGGCGTCACGCGGAAGTCACTGTTCCGAAGGATGCGCTGGGCGAGCCATGAGGAGGAACAGGAGGGCTGTAGAACAGCGTTTCTCAACCTCGGCAACGCTAAGCCGGATGGACTTCAAGTCCCAGAATTCCCCAGCTAGCATGCTGGTTGGGGAATTCTGGGACTCGAAGTCCACCCATCTTGGCCTTGCCAAGGTTGAGAAATACTGCTGTAGGACCCTGTAGAACAGCGTTTCTCAACCTCGGCAACGCTAAGCCGGATGGACTTCAAGTCCCAGAATTCCCCAGCTAGCATGCTGGTTGGGGAATTCTGGGACTTGAAGTCCACCCATCTTGGCCTTGCCAAGGTTGAGAAATACTGCTGTAGGACCTTGAATGGAAAGATGTAGTGGACTACTAGTTCTGGACGGTAGTAGCAAACACAGACTGCAGCAGAGAGTAGGCTACTTACAGCAAGGGTGGGTGATTTTTAGCAGACATCCTGATTCTCAACTGCCTAACACCAACAACAGCTGTTAATAATAGTTGGCTTCTTCCCTTGCAGATGAAAACACGACGTTGTTCCAAGTGGAATGAGACTGGCTGCTCCCTGGGCACACCTATATTGTTTTCTTTCACAGCAGAGATGTGGTTTTCCATTTTTTTTGATCCAGGAAATTTTTTCCTGACTTCCTTTCCAGTTTACAGCTCCTGGTAATCTCAAGTCTGAAGTTGTTTAGCTTTTTCAAAGTCACCCTATATTAAAAAAAACAAGGTTTGAGGTACCTCCTGTGGACAGCAAGTGGCCACAGGCTTCTCTAGGGAAGGCATGGGTCAAATAAAAACGCATGGGTCGTGATGTCAGCATTCAAATAGCTTATTTCCATACTTAAGTGTGCTGTCACAATATCATTACATGATCACACTATTTGCATGTTGATATCTTTATGCATATACTGTATGCTGATGTTTAAGATCACTTCAGACTTGTGAAGTACTGTAAATGTATTAAATGATCAAGCTTCAAAACAAATATCAAGCCTGAATGTATCTGTTAGTCAATGATCATTGCTAGGTAGTATTCTCAAGATTAATGATTAATTCCACTTCGCTAAATAGGCACCACTAGCCAGCCATTTCTGACTGCTGGCTTTTTCTGTCTGCACCACGGAACAGCCCTCCCAGCCCAGGCAAATCTTATATTTCACATTCCATTTTTTTCACCGTCTTGACCAGGTCAAAGAGGAATAACATTAGCAGCTTTCATGAGAAGGTTAAACCATATACTGTATTTTGTTTCCAAAAATTGTGAGAAGTGCCAGCTATACTCATTTAAATGATTTATACAGCTGCCCACCTCCCATCAGTGAATCTGGGCTTAAAACAGCTATAACCAATAATCCATTGACGCCCAAGGTAAACAATATACCCCAATCATGAAAAACTACACCAGCAGCAGAACATGCCCAACTTCCTGGCCCAAACACCTAGGAAAACAGACAGGTCTTCAGAGCCTTGCGAAAGGCTAACAGTGTCAGGAGCATCTGGATTTCTGGGGGGAGGCTGTTGTGCAGAGTTTAACAGCCAGTCACATTCATGTATGCCTACCTACAAGCAAGCAAATTGCATCATTAAAAACACAGAACATGTTCATCCATTTTGGTCTTATTCCCTTTCCTCACTGTTACTCAGTGATCTGATTATTTCCCTCCCAAGGAGTTTTCTTCTCTCATGCCTGTATTGAGCGGTGTTCAGAAATGCTTGGGGTGCATTCAGATGGGACATTGTTTGTTTGTTTCCTGAATAGATCACTAAATAAACCAGGATATGTTCTAAGACAATAAATGAATTCAACTGTATGGTTTGTTGTTAGTATAAAGAGCCAGTGGAGAGGATGCCTACTTTGCAATTTCCTGGCTTATTTCTGGTTTGGTTTTGTGCCTTTCTCAAATCCCAACCAATCCACAAAACTGCAAGGCAACAGCAGCTAAAAATTTAAATAAATCAGATTTTTCCAGGCAAGGCATAATTATTTCTTTTCTGCAAAATGGACCCTGGCTTTTTCTAATATACTCAAGAAAGTATGATTAAAACAAATCATGATTTAATGCAATATGTGATCAAGGAATCACTTGCTTTAAAGTCCGCACTGACGATTGAAAGCAGTAGGAATGAGAAAAAAGATAAACCCAACATTATTTGTTATCTTGAAGGAAACAAATTTTGCTTTATTCAAACATGTCTAGGCATAAATATATAACACTGGATTGTATGATTTTATCCATCACTTTAGAAATATTTTTGTAAGAAGTTGAAACTAGTTTACTTGATTAAAGCAATAATAAAACATCAACAACAAGGATCATTTTTTCTATCCTGTGATTCAAAGAGTTATATAAGATATTAGAATTGTGTATTAATTCTGGTGGGGGCCTAGATTTTCTTAAAAAATAGCAAAAACATGTCAGGAACCATATAAACAAAGTAATGCACGAGTGGTGTTCAGCATCATTCTGCAAGAAATTGACTGGAAGTTCTTGATTTGGCTTCATGAACTTTGTTGGAACCTTAATATGAAAACTAAGCTGCGTCATGTGTAAGTGACATATTCAGAAGCAAGCAAGCAGTTTATTTGCTGAGTGGCACAGATGCTGATGCTTCTGAGGTACTAAACAGAAGGAAGCCACTGAAGACAGTGTCATCATCTGGATCTGCATACAATCCATTGTAAGTCTCCCCTCCATAGGATTGCAGCCATATCCGGTCCCCTTTCTGAAGTTCCAGGATGATTCCTCCAGATGCCTGGTCTTCGGCCCCTTGGTACATGTCTGCAGTGTGGAGCATCCTGTGCTCATTTTTGACTAGCGCTACCCTCACATTCCTTGAAAAAACAGTGATGTGGTAGGTAAAATAATAGACCCCAGAGACTGGGCAGGTAAATACTCCAGTTGCTGTGCTATAATGGTTGAAGCTGTTGTATAAGACTTTGTCAAATCTGATGGGAATGTTGAGTGGAGGAAATTTAGTGGTAAGGGCCACACTGAAAGCGCTTCTGGCAATAACTGGGGTCCTGCCAAGATTTCCTTTTTCTCCCCGTTCTCCCTTCCAACCTCTTTCTCCCTGAATTCCTTTACTGCCCTTTGGTCCTGGGCCTCCTGTCTCTCCTTTAGGACCCACATGGCCCATTGGGCCCATGGGCCCCCTTAATCCTATTTCACCTTGAATTCCAATTTCACCTTTATCTCCTTTGGGGCCAATTGGCCCAATGTCCCCTTTTATCCCTTTTCTTCCCTGTGGTCCTAACTCCCCCTGTTGACCTTTGTCTCCTACTGGCCCAGGAATTCCTTTTGGCCCAAATTTCCCAGGCCAGCCTCGCTCTCCTTTATCACCTTTGTTCCCTTTTTCTTCAACTCTGCCGTCAGCCCCTAAATGGAAAGTAAAGACAATACAGTTAATCTTTTACAGAGTTGTGAGAGTATCTCATCTGATGGATGAAAGCAGACATCCAGAAGATTATAGGAAAAGACATTTGTTATTTCTGTATGAGCTAACACAAAACCAGGAGCAAGTGAGATGAGGCTACCTTTGATTTTTTGGAAGGAGGAGAAAGAAAAAGCAGAAGAAGAGACTAGGGTTCCCAAAGCAAACATATATGAAATATGAGAGTCTCAAACTACACCAGACTTCCCGGATGCCTTCTAAATGTGTTAGAAATACAATTCCCAGCCAGTAGTAGTGCCAACACATCAGTAGGCACAAGGTTGGAGAATTGAGGTCTTTGAGATCTTTGTCCAGAAAGTTTTTTTTTTTTCCTTCTAAAACTCCTTGAGACCATTAGGCTTGCTGGGGCTGGTCAGAAACCAAATCCAGGTTCTTGACTGAGTTAAGTTTTGTGCCCCAACCTAAGGTCTGATGACAGAAAATGATCTAATCTTTTTTCACAGTGACCATGTTTAATGCAGTGTCGTGGCTTAACAGAAACATAATAGGGCTGCGCAGTCCATTGTAGCTGCCAAAAAGCAGTAGGCCAAAAAACACACAGCTTTAAAGAGTTTTAGACAGGTGATAAGTTTCTGCCCCTGTGTGTATAAAAGTGCCTTTCTAGAACTAAATCTAAAACACTGAACAACTGTACTAAATAACCTCTTGGTCCAAGACATCCAACGTGAAATTATGTGCTGAAGACTCTACTAGTAGAAGAGTACAGGATTAAGCAGGAACATCACAATGCAGACAGGAGGTCAAATACGCTCTCAGTATGAAAGGTACTCTGGTAGAATGGCCAAACTGGACCGAAGTCATGGCCAGCGCTGTATGCTAAGCCTTCCAACCTGCAGTGAAACTCCTGTAACTGGCAAGACATCACACTAGTCCCAGAACTGGTGCATTGAATCTCCTTTCCACGGAGTGAGTGAGTAGGAGAAACTTATGGGCCTCAGCTTTTCTCATCCTGGTCCCTGCTGAATGGCCTAAGTCTACCATATCTGGAGGACATCAGACTGGGGAAGACCCATTTTTCTGGCCTTTTATAAAATGTGCCTTTGCATCAGACATGATGATTGTCAGTTGTTTGGGGGATATTGCTGCTCATTTGATTGGATTTTAAAATGGCATAGTTAAACACAGTTTGACTATGAGGTTATAATAAATATTTTAAATAAAAGTAAATTATTATGTAGCTCTTGGATCAAGAGGAGCTTGATCCAGGAGCCACCCTGTTTGTATTGCTGCAACAAAGAACAGATTATTTTATGTATCGTGGTCAGCACCTACTCACAGAACATTACCAGTGGATAAGCACATCCTCATATTTTGGGTGAGACCAGCTTTGCCTCCTACCTGATTCTCCCTTATTTCCACTGATGCCATCTCGGCCCGGCTTTCCTGGATTTCCTGGCTCACCTAATAGTAGCAAAAGACAGCATTTGTTCATATAACATTATATGCTCAGAAGAGGTGACAGTTCATAGAAAGTAAAGGAGATGACCTTGACAGAAATAAGCAAGTACTGTTACCTAGGCAAAGAGGGCCAAAACATTCTTTTGAAAATGTTTTGGCCCTCTTTGGCCCAGAAAAATGAGATAACATTCAGAAGTTCAGACAGACACCTCCCTAATTTACCAGAGTGTAAGGAATTGGAGAACTACAGCACAATCAGACTTGCAAGATTCTGTTGTTATAGCCTATGACAATAAAGTATAATTCTAGAATCCCTGTGGAATTGATTTCTTTGTCTGGTCTACCTAGTGGGGTTAACATCAATGATTAAATGACAAAGAAATTGAATCAAAGAAACGGACAATACTTACTACCCTGTGTTACATATCTGGCCATAGCCATAGCCATAATGAGATGGTTGGGTTTTGGCTTAATGTGTTGTGCATACTAAGCTATTGTACTTTCTTCACCATATAGTGAGTATCAGTGTCATATAAAGGATAAAGAATTGGGCTAAGATTTGGGAGACTCATCAATGGAGATTTACTGGGTGACTTTCAGCTAGTCATTCTCAACCCATCCTATCTCAAAAGGGTGTTGTTGTGTGGCCTAATTAGAGGAAAGAGTGCCAGATACACTGTTGTAGGTTCCTGGAAGAAAAGCATGATAGAAATCTAACAAGTCTAATTAATGATTTTATGGCTTAGCATGTTATGTGAACTTAGGTCATGATGGTTAATTGAATAAAGCATCGTTAAACAAACCATAGCTTAGCATGTTGTCTGAATCAGACCATTTTCTCCTTATGTTGGTATTTCACATGTATATGTGCTTAACTTTGTCTCTAGCAGTGACTCTTTGCCATGGCATCTCCTGCTTGTGTCAATGAGGCAATGTCTTGAATGCAATACTGTAGCTGTAGTGTGTATGTTCAGTACACTACATATGGTGCACTACAAGAGCTCACACCTTATAACACTATAATTTGGATGACATTTATTAATCTGTTAGATAGGGATTGTTGGTTTAACACCTGGATGCTCCTGCTATGAGCTCTGCATTTCAGTCAGCCCCAAGCATTCTTCAGCTCATTCAGCATTAGAAAACAAATGTAGCTTTCTCTTGATTTAAATGATAGCTCACATTTTTATAATACTTCAATTATTTGGCATGACCTTCAAGAGTCAACTATCAGGCTGCTGATGGACTGTTGCAGCTTTGGGCAAAGAGCTGAGCATTCATTCTTGAGGATATGCTTTTATGCATGCTTCAGAAACATTGCTGAACAAACACTTCACTGCAATAAAGTGAATGATACCTTTGTCTCCTTTTTCCCCCTTTGCTCCATCACGTCCATCTCGTCCTGGTAAGCCATTGTGTCCAGGGTTCCCAGGAATTCCAGGAAACCTTTCAATACAGCTGTTCTCTCTTGGCATTTCTTCTGTGCTGACCGCAACAGCCAGCAAAAGAATCCAGAGTCTCATCCTATCTAATTTCAATTGAAAGAAATATATATATATATATAT